AATTAATTAAAAAATTATATAAATCAGTTTGTAGAAGTATATAAGAACAACAATATCCTCTTTATACACTGTATATACTTATTGAAATAGAGCAATAATGCCTCATTGTTTTAAATAAATTCCCAAATTAGATATAAATGTATAAATGATTATTATTCTTTAATCGGTATTAACTTACAATGATTAACTTCAGAAATAATTAAATTTATTTTTTAATATTTTTATCTAAAAAGTCTATATCTATTTAAACTGTATTTTAAATTAAACTAATAATACCAAACTGCTTATTTTATATATATCATATATCATTTTCAAATGAAAAAACAAAATTAATTTTAATTAATTAATAAGAATAATATAATTTCTAATTTAATGAAGTTATTACAAAATGATAATTTTGTGTTTCCAGTAACAGATTCATTGTCAATTTCTGTAAAAATATAGTAGTTTAATCTTTATTTAATTACAGTTAAGCTAGATTTATGGATGCTTCTCTGCATCTTTACTATCATCATTATTTTTTAAGCAAAAAATTTTTATAGAAAAGAATCAACAGTTTCATTCAACTAATACTGAAAATATTTTTACAGTATAAAATAAGATGAAACACAATAGTTTAAGAATTTTTACTAAAATTATATACAGTATATCTCGGCAGATAAGATGAGGTATAAATTTTCGTCGAAGTTTTATAGTTTTAGCATATATCTGTCCTATAAGACGACCCCCAAACTATCAATGGCCTATGAATTTAGTTTAGGTCAGCAATCATCATCTGAATAATAATACTGTATAGTATATATGGAATTATGTCCTATTTGTAATTTTTGAAATTTGTAAATTGTAATTTGTAAATGAACAAATTTTATTTTCTTGCATCTGGCAACACTGCCTTGCGACTGTTGCAAACATTGGCACTGATTCGGCATTAAGTAATGACCTAGACTATTCACAAAAACATCATACGGGCTAATCTATTTTGTGGACATACCCTACTCTCTACTAGTAAATAATTATGGTTTGTCCATTTTTTCATAATGGTTTTAATTTATATAAATTTCAATCTAATTTTTGTTTTGTATCTGTCCTATAAGACAATCTGGATTTTGGGGACTTTTTTTTTTTATGATTCAACTATCGTCTTATCTGCCGAGATATACGTTATATAATACTATGAAAACACTTGCAAAAGTTTAGTTTTATAAGTATTTATTTCATGTATATTTTGTATTGAGATATATTTCTTTACATCTACAAAATTTATTCTATTTANTATTGACCTGAAGAAGACTCTAAACATTTTTGAATTATACAGCAGATTTCTATTGGATACTCTGAAAAGTATATGCCAATATTCAATAATTAAATATATAGCACCTGGATCATGTATGAACATTTCAAAGCCACTGAAAATGAAATGTACAGTATATATGTTACTGTGAATGACCAATATCTGGCAAATGTTGACATTTGCCGGTGAATGTCAGCATTCACACAGTCGTTTCATGTATGTATGAAATATTTGCTAAATATCATTATTTCTCACTTACACTGGCAAATGTCGGCATTCAACATGCACTGATGGTGAGTGTCGAATAAAAATATTTTTATTACATTAAGACAAAAATGTAACTTTTTAATGTGTCAAAATAGGAGAAGGCTTAGGTAACAGCAATGTAAATAAACTGTTGAACCTAAAACGAACAGTACATTCTAAACCATTAAAGAAAATAATACAATAATAAACTTACACATAAATTATGTGATTAACGTCACACAATCTTATTTATTGCAACAGCTTAAACTATTATGGCACTTTGAATTGCACAAGAGTCCCTTGCTTTTACAATTGCATTTACTCGTGGAATACTTCTTTTTGCAATGACAGTGTGTATAGCCTTGCCCTCCACTTTTCAAATTAGCTGCAGCTGCTTCTCTCAGCAATATTTCTTGAGAAGAAATCTCATCTATGGAAAGTAACTTTTCTTTACAAATTACAAACTGATTACAAGTATAAAGCTGCTTGAGGGTGCCATTTTTGTTTGCTAATTTATAAAAGTCGGAGTATTCTATTCCAACAACAACCGCCAACACATTTTGGGCATCTGTACGGCCACGGTCGACATCAAGGACTTGTATTCATACAGTATCACCAATTTGAGCAGAAGGAAACGGCGAAGAATTTGATGACAGACTGTCACCTCTCAGTCGACATCGGCTT